CGTGTGTTGTTGTATGATTTATATCCTTTCAGAGACACTTCACATCCAGTTTCTTGGAGGCAGATAACGTCGTGAGGTGTGATAAAATTGAGAAAGTCTGGATCTTCTGTCTTGTTACCAAGCAGGCCATGGATGTTTGCTACGTTCCAGGAGATAATAGAGTTAGCAAAGTCCATGATGAGGAAAGGTCAGAGAGGGACCTGGAGAGAAACGAAAAGAAGGTGAAAAGATGAAGAAATGAAAAAGGACTAACGAGAGCCTCTGGTGAAAGTGTTGTCGAGGCTGGTCCTGAAGTTGCCCATAATGACCCTGATACCCCTGTCGTTGAGCTGAGATTTGTTTGAGGTCAACATGTAATTGTGAGGAAGTTCCGAATCTTCAGGAAAGAAGTTGGAGTTCTTGTTCTCCCGAGTTCTAGTCCAGAAGTCTGCTTTGTCTCTATCATCTTTGAGATTGTGAATTGCCTCTGAGATAAGTTGTCTGGCTCTAAGTCCCCCTCCATCGGTTTGATTGCAGATGATTGGATGAGAGATGACCACCTTGCACTTTTGTGATGTTTCTCGGAGGATCTTTTCAGTGCTCTGGACAATATATGATATCTCAAATTGATTGAAAATAAATTGAAATAAAATTGAAAGTGGGCAAGCGAGACTACCAGCACAGTTCTTCAGTATCTTACCATGGATACCGTCAGGGTCGCAAGCTTTGTTAGAATTAATGTTCCTTAAGAGATGTTTTATATTCTCTGCACAGAAAGTTAAGTCGAATTCAGTATCACTTCTCCAATCAATATCAATATCATACTTTGATTCGTCAGAAAATTGTTCTGAGAAATACTGATTGAACATATTTGCTTTGTCTAATGGAGATTCTCTGTATGTTTCTCTAAGGTACATCCTATCCGGTATTCTTGAATTCTTTGAAGAGGATTTTACATGCGACCAGAATTTCTTTGAGATCAATGCAGGGTCATCATCGTTATCAGAGGCGGCTCGTGGGAGCTGTCTGGCAGTTTTGTTGGGGGTCCAATCGATGGACTGGGGGGAGGGGGCTTGGGAGCCGGCTCAAGCTGATCCCTCCAAACTACCGATAACATTACACACAGGGCCTTGTAAATGTAATGTGTAACACTTTACAGGCGACAGCAAACAAAAACAAAAACTTATAACATGGGTGAAACAGGACACCACACGTGTACGATCTCAGCCGCGCAGTATCACAATTCAACAGTCAATAGTTCAAAGGGTCCTGGACCCCCAAATCGAGGCAAATCATGATAGATTACCTTTAGTGGGATGCGCACGATGTGCTTTGTAACGTTTACAATTAACTATGTGTTAAAACTGTGCGGCTGAGTAGTCCAGAGGTAGGATTGGACTCCCTACAACACAAAATTTCACGAAGATCATGCGTGCACTTACATTAAAACGTATGATAGTAAACGAAGACCTTTATATTGCGATTTGTTATTTCCTAACACTATTACTAATTACTATTTCTATTTTAAGCACCAGCCACCAGATAATAATTTAAAGGCGTCCACGGACGCCTGGACGCCCTCAATAGCCGCCTCTGATCGTTATATAGATTATCGTTCATCTTCTGATCAGATAGATTTTTGAACTGTGTCCTTAGTGAGCAAAACTAAAAATAATCCTTTTGTTGGCCGGTTAGTTTCCACTTTTCATGAGCTCTTATTTTCTTCAAGTATGCCTCATGGGCCTCTGAGTCAAACCAGGGATTTCTATTTGCTAACTTTAAAGTAATAGTTGGGATATGCTTTGAGATACTTTTCGATATTACAGACTTTAAGGCAAGCCAACAATATTCAGGATCTCCTAGCTTTAAAAACATAGCATTCCAGTCAATAGAATTCAAGTCTTCGTTAATGGCCGTCCAGTTTGCCTTCTTAAAGTTGAGAATCTTTCTTTTAGGACATTTAGAATAAGTGATTTTTGTAGCAACTTTAAAAGCTATTGGATAATGGTCAGATTTGCAAGCACCGTGATCCTTCAATACCGTAAGATCTCTTACTAAATTTTTACAATTACTAAAAAGAAGGTCTAGTATGTTACCCTTAACATGTGTAGGACTACTTATACATTGATCTAGATCAAAGTTATGGAATGTCGAATGAAGTCCTCTTCAATTAAACTAGAAGGTGTAACAATTCCGTCCTCAGAAAACCAATCTACTCCAATGAGATTAAAATCACCAACGATGAAAAGTTTTTTAGGGCGTTTGCTTGAGTAGAAAGACTTGATTGTACTGGCAATACTTTCATGGTTTACTGTTCCTAAAGTTCCGACTCTGTAAACCACACAAAAAATGTATTTACTTTCACCTATGTTTATTTCAATAGCGGCCATTTTGGACCCCTTACGTACAGACAGTCTTTTGATTTCAGCTTGAATATCAGATCTGATTGCTATCAAGACTCCTCCACCATTTTTCCTACATTTTTTCGGATTGTTATCATCAGGTGGATGTGATACTTTTGAGCGATCATTTCTAAATACTTCATAGTTAGAGCTTTGAATGACCTCTCTATCCATTACAGAGTTTTTAAGCCAAGTCTCTGTAAGCAGAATAACGTCAGGATGTGAATCTTCAATATGTGCATTAAGTTCATATATTTTAGATTTATCAAGATGAGGTTGCTTACTGTTAAGTTGAGAAAACGGTATCAAGCCTTGAACATTCTGATAATAGACTGATATGTGATTAGGGCCGGGATTAAGCATACTAGGGTTTGATATTGCAATAAGCAAGAAGTTTAAGGTCAATAGAAGTAAAATCGACATACTCAGAACTTGCCTAGATGTGCTAGTTACTGCACCAAACACTATATAATATATTAGCGGCAGTCAGCCTATCAACTCGGTATCTCCGACTGAGTCTTTGGTACTGAGTAAAGATGAAATTCTTAATTGCAAAACCAAAGATATACAGGTATGCACAATTAATATGAGACACAAGTGGGAAGGCCTTACTGGTATTAAAGTAGAATCTACTGGGATGAATAAACCTATCAATCTCATTGGACTCTATCGAGCTTGTTAAAATCATACCAATTAGACAAAACATGATGAACAAGTGCAGAACATAGATACCAATGTTAGATGGTCTAGAATTGAAGATAAGTGCATCTTCAAATATCCTAGTCCTGATATCCGATCCAAACCTAACCCCCTACCCCAAGCAGAACTATCCACTTGACAGGAATTCTTTTCTTTGGTGCTCTAGAATTACAAAAGCAGCCGATTCGCATCCTGTAAAGTGTTAGATCGATCATTGTCAAAAATTTAATTCAAATGTAATTTAAAATATGCATACAGCCTACCAGTGTGAACCATTGGGTTGCACCCTGGCAATTAAAAATCATTTGTGTTAATGAAAACATATTTCAAAATTGTTCAACCCTGAATTGACTCTATTACCGCAGCACGGTAGGTATCAAATTTTTAATTGAATTGCGGTTTAGAAACCAAGAGGATTGAACCATTTTGAATGAATAATAAATATGTAGAATCTTGCAAGAACACCCATGCCTTTATTATTTGGGTGAATATCAAAACGCTGTTTCTTAGTGTCAAAATGCGGGAAAAGTCTCGTGTTGATGCAGCCCCTAGCATCCAAGAAAGCAGGAAAGATATCTAAGAAATAATGCCTATACCGGGAGCACATATTGTAAATCAGATTGTTCATTCGAATAACATTTCTCTCAGTAAATTTACAACCATTAGGATTAATTGGAGGAATAGATTGAAACCATACTTTTGCAGTTGGAAGTATCAACTTTATGGAACTCATTAAACTAGATACCGCACTTTTAAGATGTGCTATTCCATTATCACAGTACCGTATATCATTAGTACCAACAGACACAAATAATTTAACAACTTCTAAATTAGGGTTATCTTTCACGAATTTCTCGATATCTCTCTTGACCTTATCAAGTTTACTGCCTCCAACGGCGATGTTCTTAACTACTTGCTTATTCTTTCCTAACAATTTTTCATCTAATCTAGCAGCAAAAGAGTCCCCAGCAACAAGAACAATCTTCTGCTTTTTCGTGACTTGTTCATTGACTTGGGATAAATCCACTTGATCCTCTTCAGGAGGTTTAATCTTACGGAACGAGAGACTAAAACGTACTTGTTCATTTTCACCGACAACATTACCAGAATAAACTGCATGTCTCATTTTAGATTGAGCACCAGGTTTCATAATGTTCATGGTTTTATCAGTGGCTGGTAGCACATGATCAGGACTATCGCTGTTTTTATTACTATCAAGAACGATTTACATAATGCAATGAAAACCTGCAAAGCTGTGTATGATGATAATTATATTAATTACACATTTTTAAGGGTAAAACCACTGAGGGTTTTCTAACCCAGTGAACAACTTTTTTAGTGTTAGCTAATCCATCGTTATTTATCGTATTTTGATGAAAGATTAACAAGAAAATTTCAATTGTTGATGGATGAATTGGGAAAACATCTAGATTGGATAATAATTCCGATTATTCATCCTGTTTAAACTTTACAGATAACTTTCTTAATCTTATCATGTAGGTCTTGTATTTTAAGCTTTTCAAGATTGCCCCATTTGTTTTGTTGATTTATGATTTAGACAGAGCTCAACCTGAAATCCGAATATTCATTTTACTCATAATCATAGCTGTTAGCCTACTATTAGAGTAGTTTGCAATCTGTTTCGCACGTTTTTATTTTTACTGAAGTTTTGTATTTGTTATGTACTTACTTACCATGTTAATGCTATTTCACCTTTGAAATGCTCTGTTTTACTTCTATTTATGTCATCTGATTCGACCTCTAATAAAAATTACAATCTGCAAAGAAATTTTCAAAAGTAAGAACGTCTGGCTAAATATTTGTTGAGATAGTAAAAGTGAATTAAGGATTACCGCTTATTCTTTTGACCTCAGAAGTTATTAATTTCATTCCATAACATTAACAGCTCCTAGCAGCTCCAATAGGTTGTATTATCATGCGCTGAGGGGCATGTGCAAATTGTGCATCCAAAGTCCATAATGTCGTTCGGATCCATCACATATACCGATGATGAGTTTAATGAAATCCAGGTTTTTATAATGTTGCAGATTGGCACAATATTAAAAATTTAATTTCTTACTCCAGTTGCTTCACAGTTATTAATTCTCGTCTCTAAACATCGAATGTACTCTTTTGCACATTAACAGATTCGGAAAACAAATTTTAACTGAAAGGTTCAATACCTTCAACACACCAGGCAGCACTGAGGAAGAGATTAGGAACTGATTTCGTAGCGACAAGGCCTGGTCCTGGTGGACAGAAACTATACTATGTGGAAGGCTGGAGGGTGGTTCAACTTGCTAACGAAACTTTTGGGTTTGATGGATGGGGCTATTCTGTTACGAACATGACTGTAGACTTCGTGGATCATCTGGCTGGTTAGTCAAAACAACGATTCAACTAAAACTTTGCCGAAGAAGGATTTTTTGCCTCGTCCAGCGGTGCACGGCCCTGATATCCAGGGTCTGAAAAGGTTTGAACCTAATGTTATTGCATGTTCTTTCATCCATTCGCTAGCGCTTTTTTCTTTTTTCGCTAGCGCTGTGATCCGTTCAATGAATAAGCCAGTGGTCAGATCAGCATCTGTAAATATGCTCATATAGATCCGCTCGCCGTTGTATGATAAGAAATGACCACAACAAAATTGACCAAATTTACTTCCAGGCAAGTTCAATGTTGGCGTGTCAGCCACGGTGAAGGTTACCTTGAAGAATGGGTGCTTCAGAGAAGATGTTGGGTATGGCTGTGTGGATGGAATGAGGTGAGAAATTGTTTGATTATTTTACTCCAAGTTTTGATTCTTAGTCCTTAGAAGGGCACTCTATTAACAGTTTTGGACTGATTTGAATGTCCTGCACAGCAGATCGAAGCATCTCTAAATTATTTACTATCTTTATTATATTGCTGTGTAAATTTGATTCCAATAATTCTCCAAAATCCCTCTTTTTCTGCAAAAATGACCATTCTTAACCTTTCACCACTGTCTTTTTACAAAAGAGTGTGAATGGAAAAAATCAAGAGATATTTACTCCATTTCTCTTGGCAACACACGGATTTATATTCAAATATTTAACTTCTTCCTTCTTCTTCTTCTTGATATAATTTACACTCTCTATCTTCCCATAAATGACACTTATATGTCTACTAAAACATTAGTCTTCTTAAATTTTTCTAGATTAATTTTAAAATCAATAACAGACTCTGAATTTCTGTTATTGAAGATGGGAAAGTATTCGATTTAAAAAAAAATCTAAATCTTTTCAAACAATACATAATTATACAGAATTGAATGCTTCTAAATAAACCCAGTTATAAAAGGAGAAAACCGATATAGCCCTAATATCCACGATCCCAGTATGAAACCCAAATTATGTATTGAAAGAGGGGGTCATACATAAGTATTCCGACGGCAGTACGGCGGCAGTACGGCGGCAGTACGGCGGCAGTCCCGCGGCAGTACGGCGGCAGTACGGCGGCAGTCCCGCAGCAGAACGGCGGCAGTACCGCGGCAGTACCGCGGCAGTACGGCGGCAGTATAGTGACAACACTTATATCAGAATTTTGATCCAATTATTCCATGACTTTGATGATTAGTTCACATTGATTTGTGAATTAAAAACATATTTCGAGAAATCAATAAGTTGTAAATTATAAGTTCATACAATATCATTATAACTTTAAATCAGTAACTGTCACCCTGGAGCAATAAAATATTAAAATAATTCAGATTCATTGCAGGTACTTCTGGTATCTTTTGTATTTCTCTGATGTGATACCCATGTAACTCACAGCGTCATCTAGAGAAGCTCCTGCGTTAACCATGTTGTCGATATTTTTGAGGAAGTCACGGACTCGTTCTTTCTTCTTGAAGGACGAGGACTCTACCACAGCAGGTATATGAGCTGGACACAACTGGACACAACTCAGAGATTGTAAATATTGCAGGACGGAGGACTACACTCGACTACTATACCTTCTGAACATATCCCTCTGCAGTTTACATCGAACGACACTACTGGCTACCCCAACACGAAAGAGATCTCGTCCCCTCTCTCCTAGTCCTACTAACGATCCTACTATCCTTCCTGGTTCCACTCAAGCTGTTATACCTTCTAGACGAGGAGGAGCTACTCCACCAGATACTGATAATGCTCGCCTAGTAAGACCTGTGGTTACACCTACCCGACCCTCTTCCAGTTCCTCACCACCACCTAGTAGACGCCGTCTGAACACTGATGAAACCCACTCCCGCTCCTCTGTAGCTGGCGAAGCCTTATGCTCCTACAACAGAGTGCACAGAGACTTTTCCAACCGTCCTGATACCTCCATCAGCCTTTCAAAGTTCTTGAAACAGAAACGAATCCCTGAAAGATCCTTCTAGCGCAAGAAGAAGATAGCAGAGCTGATTATCCTTGATAGACCACGATTCGGCAGTCTCATCAAACAGATTCTCAAGGAGGAGCGGACTGACAGGATCAACCAGCAGATTCTCTCTGACCGATGTGGGGCTATCCTCAAGCAGAGTGACTTTCTGGAGAAGAAACGACTCGCAATTGCTGCTGGCAAGATTCTCTAAATGTAAATTATTTTATTGCTCCAGGGTGACAGTTACTGATTTAAAGTTATAATGATATTGTATGAACTTATTTACAACTAAAACACAGTAGTGTAAAGTAATAAATACATTCGGCCCTAGCAAAAAATTAATTAATCAATGAATTAAAACATATAATATTGTAATTATAGAAAATATATCACTCTGAAGGCTCCTTCTCCGAGCTAATGACTCTAAAGTTCCTGATAACATGAACTTTATCAGGCTCTGCTGTCCTTTTATTGAGTAGTTGGTCGACAACTTTCTTGTAGGCCATCCTGTCTGCAGTTGATCTATCTGGAGTAATGTAAACTGAACTAAACCCGTCTACATGTCTTAGTAGCTTAGTCTTGCTCAAGATGGTACGAGCTTGATCTGAGCTTGACAAAATGAATTTCACTGGCCTGACTCGTTCAATTGTGTCCTTTCCAACTCGTTTACATCTTAAAATTTTCGGTTTTTCGTTGAGATGGTCCAACAAAATACCAGATACCTTAGCATCCAGGTTCTCCTCAGTCTCTAGAAGCCCAAAGATAATCAGACTTTTACTTCGATCTTCTTCTAGGGAAACCCTTTTCACCGCAGCTTGGATCTTCTTCGGTGCAAAGGCGTTTTTGCATGTGTTTTTCAAAAGAGACGAAAAGGTTTTGATCTTTTTCTGAGCTTCAATTTTCACAGTTCCAATCTCATCATCCTTCTTCAAAGCTAACTTCTCCTGCAAATCACTGATTTTAGCCATATCTTCTTCTTGCTTAGAGAGCAACTTATCTTGTAGTTCTATGATTTTAGTCGCATCCGCTATTTTTTCTTTCCTGAACATTCTGTTGTCGTCAGTTGTTTCTGTGGCGGATTGTAACAATGGACCACAATAATTGTCCAGCATACAGCACACTGTCTCTAACCATTCTGATAACCTTTCTCTAGGCACACTTCTCTGGTTCAGTTTATCAAACCGCACATCATCGTTGTGTTCAACTCCGATTTTACTTCTAATCTCCTTGAAAATACTGTCAGTCGCCATGTATAGTATATCTGATTCACATATTCCGTAAGGAACTGGCCATTCACGACCATATCATCATCTAACATATCCATATGTTCATTCTGTAGCGGAAGTGGCATCGTACACGTTGTACAGAAAATGTACAAACATTGTATACAAATCTACAAAGCCAGAGAGACAATTCAACGCGCAAACATAACAAAGTTTGAGATCCGGCTTCACAACCCTCTGGCAGTATACTATGCCGGACAGACCATAGCAGGACAGGTGTTTCTCGAATTATCAGCTGAGCTTAACTTCGGTGCCATTACCTTGGAAATGCATGGTGACGCCAATGTAAGTGTATTTACATAATCCGAGTTTAAGTTATATCTTAGATCTGGAGGGGGATTATTTAAAACATATAATTGATACGAAAAGTCAGTTTAGCAGGAGCTATCAAACTAAATGTGTAAATCGTCTATATGCGCACAGTCACGTGCTCGTGATCGGGAGTGGACCAATGATAGGGGACCTTGCTGGGTAGGCAATTATTATAGTGATCATCCAGTAAAGCGAGTGATTGGCTTGCTTATTTGTTGCCACTTAGTGAAGATTAATATGGTCCCTAGTCTATATAAATTATTCATTGTGGTTACCTCGTTGAAATTGTGGATAACTCAACTCTTCCCACCCCACCCCACCCCACTCAACTCCACCCCACCCCACCACACCGCATCCCACCCCAGCCAACCCCACCCCACCCCACCCTTACAGCATTAACACGCAGTTATTTAACTCCGGGTATCTTCTATAGGTTGCTTGGACAGAGGAAGAGGGAAGTAGAGACAATTTGCGCACAATTCACTATAAAAACTCTGAGACCTACCTTAACATAGAACAGTATCTCATCGGGGACGGCAAAGAGGAGAGCAAGCTTCCGGCTGGACGTCACAACTTGCCCTTCTCTATAGCTCTTCCCACGAACATACCCGCCACTTTCATTGGAGATCATGGTTAGTGGATGAATCATGGTTAGTGGATAAATTGAACAATTGGCATAATGATGATTTATCATTGCATTTCGTTTGTAATTTTGCGATTTAACTTGAAACTCGATTACACACAGCGACACAGATTGAAACTTACATTACATACCTACAAGGAGGGTCCAGTTACTGGACTCCAGTATAACTTGTCTGCTAAAATTGATAGAAGAACACGATTAGACATTAACCTTGATGTCACAGTTGTGTCATTGCTCGACCTCAACAAGGATCCCAGTGAGTATTAAATTCATTTTTATTTTTAAGTACATTTTACATTTACAATTACAAAAAAATGTTCTTATTTTAAAACAACAAATGTTCTTATCTCAACAAGAAGTGTAAAGTGATCAGTGATTAAGTTATTGTAGGCTAACAATAATAACATAGACCTTAATACTGTCATAAAACTTTGGTTCACCTCTCCACCAGTTTCCGCAGCTAACATTTGCTAGTTTTAAACGGGCTATCCAGATCACTGAATTTTTGAGGAAATTTCGAGGAAATTTTTCTGAAGGACCGTTAACCCTAATTTGCTAAACAAGAGGGAAAATGTGAAATTTCATTTTTGTGGACATAGGTTTTCCGTCTGAACTTGGGCAGTGTTTCTATTAAGTCAATGTAAAACCTTTTAGCTTGTGTGTTGATAACAGTTGCTCTCTTATCAGTAAAATCGTTTAATCGCACTACGATCGTGTAGCCTTGAAATACAATTTAACTTTAAGTAGTGACCTGTACATGATGGAGGACACAGATATACACTCAACATTTTTCACTGAAGCGCAACAGGACTTTAACACTTTGATTTCTAAAGTTGCAGAAGCCTCGAACTATGAACATGGTTTCAGTTGAAAAGTTTGAAATGCCAACCAAGAAGGTTTTGTTACACTTTAAAATGTATAGTATGTACAGTCAGATGAGTCTCTTCGTCACAGAAACTATGAATGCAACGAAAAGATGCTGAAGAATTGAAAAGCTTTCTCATCCGATTACAGGAGTCGGTTATCAAAGCCAAATCGAAGCAGTGTGTACCGTATTCGCTATGTTCACCACAAGTCACCAGTTTTTATGAACCTCATTCGCCATATTCTCTAAAACTTGCCATTTAGATAAGATACATTTACTCGACAAAGCTCATAATATATCTTAAAACATAACCGCTGATAAACCACATTATTTCAGGTGCAGCATCGCCGCGTACCATCAGTGGGAGTAAGAAGTCTGGATTTCTCTGCTGTACTTCTGGTCCACTGAGCGCTACACTCTCTTTCCCCAAGCTGGGGTGGGTGGGTGGGGAGACCATCTCCCTTTCCGCTAGTATAGATATAATGTACATTGTGGTGCTTAGTGTGCATCCCTCAGGGATTGGGTCAGATCTGAAAGTTCCGGTGATCATCACCATCGGTACAATCCCACAAGAACAGGTGCAACACATCAACCTCCAATACCAGCCGGACGAAATCGCACCGCCTCCAGACGTTAGTGCACCGCCTCCAGACATTAGTGCACCACCACCAGACATTAGTGCACCGCCTCCAGACATTAGTGCACCGCCTCCAGACATTAGTGCACCGCCTCCAGACATTAGTGCACCACCACCAGACATTAGTGCACCACCGCCCAGCTATGAAGAAGTGATGCACGGTGGGGCGGCGATGTAAGGGACTGAGGGAGAAGGGAATGAGGTCCAGGGAGGTGGGACTTATGCTACTAGTTATCCGACTTATGCGTTTAATAATAGCTAACTTCAAGACAGTCTACTCTTTATGTTAGTCACTTATAACTAACTGATCACTAACTGATCACTAACTGATCACTAACTAGTTACTAACTAGTCATTAACTAACAATTGTACACTATGTACAGTGCTTCAAGTATGCGATTCACATAGCGACTGCTAGCCCTATCACAGATGATTGAGGATCTCTTGAGCTGTTGAGGGATTGATTGGAACCAGCTTTGTTTACTGGTTAATGTTTACTCAAGTATTTGTACATACAATTATATAGAATAGTTATATACCTAAATCTGCTAATATAAAACCATAATAACTCTAAAAAATATACACTGCACAAAATTATGGACCTGGAAGTAAGACTAAATACTTCAGAGCTTAATACCAAATCAAAACAAAATTCTAGAAGACTGACAGTCTTGTGTTGAAAGACGAATGTTATTTAGAAGCTTATCAAAAAATTAAATTCTTAGCGAGCCAAAAATCCATAAATCCAAACAAAACTCTGTCTTAACACAATATTTCAAACAACAATTTTGTCCACACTACACACTTTGCCTCCTTTAATGAAGTGTCTCTTATCTGGCTCGTCGTTTGATCTCTTCTTGAGTTCTAAAACAAGCTTTTGCTGTTCGGCACGTTCCTCTGGAGACCTATCCGGACTGATGAAGACTTTACCGAAATGCTCCGAGCTACGGAGATGCCTTGCTCTAGTCAAAATCTGCTGCACGATTGTAGAGCTCGTCAAAGTCACCTTAACAGGTCTATCAGCCACCTGTTTCTTATCCTTGGATTTGATCAAACCAATTCTGCTAGCTTCTATTTTTGGCTTTTCACCTAGTTCCAACAACACTTGACCGACCTTGTCACATAACAGCTCACCTTTCTCTTCTTTAAGACCAAACAACATCAGATTCCGACTTCGGTCTCCTTCTGCTACAACATCCTTAATGACATTCTTTAAGATGTTTCTATCCGAATCCAACAAAGGACCTGCTGTTGAGGTTTTTGATTCCTTTACCGCGGCGCTGTATGTCTTTAACTCGGATTTCACAGTATTCTCAACTGATGCTACAACCTCAGATTTCAAGTAATCAAGCTGCTCGTCTTTGGCAGCTAGCAGCTCTTTCTGCAATACAACTATTGTCCCCTGGCTGTCAATTACATCGGAGTGCAATTTCTGGTTATACTTCTCCATCTGATCAATGTACAATGATTGCCTATACATAATTTTTAACGCAGAATTGAGACTCTGAGCCATAACTTCCCTAGTGATTTCTCTTCTACCAATGAAACCCTGAGCTACAAACGCGTTAACATGATTTGATTTAACAAGCTGGAGAGTTTTCCGGATCCATTCAGCTCCATCATCTCTCACTTCATCAAGCTTATAAGCCACGTATTTCTCAGATTTATACATCACACAACCACGGCACCGGTTAAACAAGCAAGTCTTATCAACGTAATGATAGGTAACTGATAAGCGAGCAACAACGTATTGAAAAGTGTATTTACTGATGATGATGAGGGAACATCACGGACAAGTGTTTCCCCAGGTGTGTTAGGGGGTTAGGGGGTTAGGGGGTTAGGGGGTTAGGGGGTTAGGGGGTTAGGGGGTTAGGGGGTTAGGGGGTTAGGGGGTTAGGGGTTATATTGTACTCTTGTATCGTTTTACGTCTACCTTTGACTGTAGCCTTACTAGCGCCTAGATTCTTTTCCTATATTTTTCCTAATTTGATAGTTGTGAACGTGTTCTTGAAGTTTACCACATTCTTCCCCTTTCCCAGGCAATGTTTTCTTAGAGCCCTTTGAGTTGTCTACTTCACCCTTTTTGTTTACACTTCTGGTATCCCTTTTGCACTCCCTTCCTTCCTGTTAATTAGATCTTATCACCCTCCTAGGGCCGTCAGGGTTAAACGCTTGCATCACGTGATCTCACTAGGAGTCACGTGATCAAGACTTTTTATATCTGTGCAACGTGGCACACGGGGTCTTTTTGACTTTACTGAGAATTGTGTTGGGAAGATACACCTATAGTTGAATTCTTTAAACGTTGTTTTTCTTTGTAACAAACTCGAATACGGCCTTATACTTTATCTGGAGGCCTCGTACTTTTTCGAACCGCAGTGCGAATTGTTTTATACCTTTTGCACCTTGCCCCCAGTTTAACTCGCCACGTGTAGTTGTGTAACACTCTGATTGAACTAATCAGTGTTAACTTGCACCCAGTTTTACTCGCCACGTTTGTTTGAGTGTTACATTGATTGAACCGATCAGTGTTAGTGAAGTGACACGGGAAACAGACTAGTTTTACCAGGCACTGACAGATTGACCGTATCTATCGATAGTTTGTAGACGGACTCAACAGAAATGGAGGAAATTACGGCGTTGATGAACGCTTGGAAGTTAGCAGCTGACAAGGTCACATCAATCAAGGCTGAAATTGATACCAAACGGACAGAAGAGGCTGAAGCTAACGTCATGGAAAGTCTTCAGAACAAGCTTACTAACGCACAGACAGACGAAAACAGCACAAAAACTACCTTATTCACCGAACTTGCAAAACAATCAAGTCATTCATCTCCTAACCAACCAACAGAGGAGTCACATTCGACACAACAAGACAAAGCCGGCGACAGGGGAGCTGTCAGTTCGGGAAAAAACGTTGGAGATCAGGAAACACGCATATCTGCAAGGATGACTGCTCCCAAGGAGTATAAACATGGCGAGGATTTCACGACATGGTGTTCGAGATTTCGACGATATTTACGGACCAGTAGAATTCACAGAAATGACGCCTTTGATATACTGCTCAACAACGTCGACGATCGAACACTTGACAAGCTGGAACCGATAGCTGAACGGCTATCGACTGACGAACGACGCGATCCCGACTCATTTATACCGATATTTGAACAGATTATCTATCCGAAGTCGGACATCAGAGCTCTCCGACAGAAGCTCACCAGCGGCAACACTGTACAAGAGGACGATGAAGACATCGACGCATTTGCCGCCAGGATAAGAAGCCTAGCCAAACGTGCATACAGTAACCCAAGTGAGAGACACGAACCGTGTTTAAACGCGTTCCTAAATGGCATGAAGGATGAAATGCTATATGACAAGGTCGTATCAGTGCCAGGAGCAGAGGACACTTTTGACTTGGCGGTCGAATCAGCAACCAAGTTCGAGAAACTTCGACGAACAA